CGGAGGAGGGGCGCTGTCAGCCGCGCAGCCTGCAGGCTCTGCTTCCCAGGACCTCCCGCCCTCCCGTCCTCCCGTGGGCGGCCTCGGAGCTCTCCCAGGGGGCTAAGGGAGAGGAGAACTCCGCGCAGCAGCGCCGAGTTTCCTAGTAAGTCTCGTGGAGTTTAACCCCGCGGAAGCTGCCGCCGCCCGGGCTGAGCCCCAGCGTTTCCCTTTGGGCGCCCGAGCCCGGCCGGCTCACCTGGAGGGGCCGTGCGAGGAGCGCTTCTTGGCCTTCTCGTAGGGCTCGTCCAGCGAGGACTCGCTCCACATCCTGGGCTTGATGGGCGACTTGTCGTAGTCGCTGCGGTGGAAGTGCATCTGCCGCAGGCCCTCCAGGGACTGGGGCGGCGCGGGCCGCGGGGGGAGGCCCTTGTGAGGGGACTGTAAGGGGGACATTGTGCTGGTGACCTGCGAGTCTTCTGCGCAGAGACGGAAAGACAGAGGCTGAGCAGGGTCGTCCTGGCCCGGACCGTCCCGCCGAGCCCCGCAGAGCCGCTGCGCTGCACCTGTCCCAGGCCCGACTCCCCAGGTGTCAGTCGGGCCAGCCCCAGCCAGAGGGCTCCGCTCCGGGCAGAGGACTACGGAAGAGCAGCGTCGCTGGTGTGTGTGTGTGTGTGTGGTGCTGGGGACGGAACAGGAGGCCTTGACACTTAGCTACGTCCCCAGCTCTATTTTAAAATCTGTTAACAGTGTCTCACTAAGTCACTAATTTACCCAGGCTGGGCTTAAACTTTTGATCCTCCTGCCTCAGCCTCCCAGAGTACTGGGATCACAGGTGTGTGCCAACACTTCCGGCTGAGGTACTGCTTCTGACTAGACATGAACAAAGTCTGAATCTTAATTATACCATCAGCAAAAGAATTTATCGCAACTCTTTTGAGTGCTGGGGTCAAGCAAGGGTCCCATGCTGCTGAGCAAGTGCACTGACGCCGGGGTTACCCAGCCCCCCGGGCCTGGCTTTCAGGAGACGTTGGGCATCTGACTCACTAGGGAGAGTAAGCTCCCCGAGGTGGGTCCTGCTGCACGGCACCACTGCTGACCTGCAGCAGATGCGTCAGGCGTGACTGTCTGGGCGGATCTGGTATCCATTCTGCTCTTTTCCAGAGCGACCTTGAGCCACGCGAAGACCTTGTACTTTGCCAGGCACAGAGGTGCGGTGAGAATCCTGTCCTGACCACTCATCTGGCAAGGTGGCCATGGGAGAGGCAGTGGGACCCCAATGGCCTGATAGGCCCCTTGGATGTGTTTGCAGTGACTCCAGTTTGCACAGCATAATCCATTCCCAACCTCGGAGCTGAGATATCTGCTGAACTTGTACCACTCATTCTCCCCCAAATCCATAAAGGAAAAGACCCTTGAGGGGCCCCACCGTGGGAGCACTTGGCACGGAGGGGTGCTGACACCCCAGGGAGGCCTGAGATGGGAGAAACCGTCAGTGAGCCAGTGGGTGACATCTCACGATTAGCTGGGACAGTGTGCGCTGCCTTGTCAACTCTGCCCCTACCAGGAAGCTCACTGGGGAGGAGCAGGGGGGCGCCCAGGCAAACCCCGGGGCTGGGGTCCTGATGTCTGGAACAAGCCGGCCTGCCCTGGGAGCCCATGTCCCCCTCCACATAATGAAGCAGACAGTAAAAATATTGTAATCTGATTTCCACTAACAGGACCACAGCAGCAGGTAAGCAACTCACCAGGCTACCCACATCAAAAGCAGTCATTGCTGTTACTGCAATTATCCCTACTGCTCTGACTTGGTAGCCTTTTGTGTTTCCATCTGAACAGCCACTGAGCACTGCCTGCCTGTGGGTTCCCTAAAGGGCAAAAAATTAACTGCTACTTAATACATTTCCATCTAATTAAAGCCTACTGCCATTTGGTCCGGCGCCTGCAGGAACATTCTCAGATGTGGCTCTGTGTTAGAATCTTGCTTCCTCGGGGGATGGTGGTGGTGGGGTGGGCTGGGGGTTCAGCTCTGGTTTTCTAAGCACTACCTACCCAAGAAAATATGCTGGGAACTGCCAGGTTTGAAGAGCCGAACAGCAATAAGAGGAGTTTTCAAGGCCTGGCCCTCCGTCCACAGGGACATCTCACCCTTAGCTGTTACTCCTGTCTCAGGAAGAGACAGTTGGACTGCCTGCTTCTGCTACCCTTGGATCCCCCACCGACGCCAGTTCTTGATCTGTGATCCAAATCCATTTCTACCTCTGCCTCCATTATGAATACTCAAGAGGAACCCTACATGGAGAGTGTGGGTTCCCTGCTCAGTTGAAAACGCGGCTGTGGCTACTGCAAGGTGCAGCCCCTTTCACTGAGTGTCTCCCTAGGTTTCTCCTCTGGGCTCAAGAGACCTCGAGTTCCACAAACATGATTCTGGCAGGAGAGCCACCCGTTCTGGACCCACGAGAGGGCTGCGGGGGGCCTGGCTGTCCCCTCAGCCGCGCTCCTTTGCATGTGACTGTCCCCAGAGTCTGCACAGACCAACCTGTTTAATTTGTGTCCCACCTTTTAAGCCAGGAAACAGAAAACCTACCATCTTCGAGAACAAGGGCGTCGGAGAGGGAGCTGTCTTCACTGGCGATGTTTCCATCTGGAAGCCAAAAAGCAAAGTCCACGAGGTCAGCACATTCTGGAAACAAAGCCCTGTCTGTTGGAACAGTGTTTACCGCTGCGGCCTTCTCTCTCCTTGGAAAGCACCCACAGTCTACAGGCTGGGGGCCTTTCTCCTGCCGTCCCTGCGGTGGGCCAGCTCATCCTCCCCGCCGACATCGCAGTGGGCACAGCCTTCGTGGGGCCCCACGGTGCCCAAACCCGGGGTGGGTGCCGAGCACACAGAGCAAGGCCACTGCTGTTCATTTTACCATGTGACACCAGGGTGGGGAATTTAGCTCTGCTAACCTGGCAATAAACGCTCCTGCGTAAGTCCTGAGGTTATTAGAGAAGACAAATGTGCTAAATACAGACTGTCTCCAAAGCTTATTTTCATAGGGGCCATGCAGTCAGTAGGGGCCCATAAGGGAGACAGAACAACCCTGATCCTCTCACCACTGGGGAAACTGAGGCACGTCCTGAGGCACGTCCGGGAGGAAGGCTGAAGCTGCTCTGCTCTCGCAGAAGTTAGCAAAGGCCCTGAGACTTTAGAGTCCCAAGTGTAGGGTTTTATTTTTTGAAATAAAAAGCCACGCTAAGGAAGTAAGAAGAGCCTTCTTTACTTCTGATTCAAGTGTGACTTAGTGACGAAAACCTTACTTCATGGAAAATGCAAGCAGATTAAGCAGCAGGCTGAAGGCTTGAACGGAAGGGTTCAGGAGTCCTCACGGATAGTGGCTTAAGAGCCCCTCCCATCGGCCACAATCTTGGCAGCTGTCACCACGCAGGCCAAAGAGTGGCCACCCCTGCACCCTCCCAGACGTGGCTCTCATCCCTTCCAGGGACAGAACAGGTCCCGAAGGAGCCAAGGCAGAGGGGGGCTGCCCTGCAGCCCTGGAAGTGTGGGCACTTATGGGGTTTTGGCCAAAGACAGCCACCAAGATGGGGAGATGGGTTTTCCAAGCTGTCTTTTCTAAATGGCCAGCTCCTAGGCATTCACACCGCAGTGGACCGTGGATGGCTGGGAGGCAGGCCTGGACTCAGGCGGCTGGTAATCACCATACCTCCTCTGTTCCCTCTCTCCACACTCCGATATTCACATGGAAGTGCACACATCAGAGCAGTCACTGTGCTCGGTGGCCCTGAGTAATGCTCACTACTGTGCTACCTTCACTGCCACCGCCTTCTGTCTGGATGATGTCTTCATTTTCCTAAACCGAAACTCTGGACCCACCGAGCAACCGATCAGTTCCTCAGCCCTCCTGCCCCTCATTCCTGGAAATCTCTACTTTACTTTCTGTTTTCCTAGAGTAACAGTAGTTTTAAACATGCAAACACCACGCAAGAATCCTTGACATGTATTTTCAGGAATTTGCTAGTTTAGAGCGAGGGGAGACCTAATTCTTGGTAGATTTGGGGTATGAGCTTCTAGAGCTTCCCGGATATCGTCAGCTGAGCTCCGAGCCCCAGACTGCAGCCCAGGACGGACACTGCCCAGCCCCACCCAGCTGCGGCTCATGGGGCAGCAAGCCCTGGAAGCAGAGCCGGGCCCGGGAAAGGGTGGCCGTCCGGAGCGCAGAGCCTGGGTGCGGAGCACTGAGAGCGGGGGTCTGCTGGGGCGGCAGCGATGTTGGGAGTCATGGCTACAGGATGACGCCCCAGGGGTGGACAGTGAGGCCCTGTCCGCTCCTGTGCTCCCGGCCCCGGGCACGGAGTCCAGGGCCCTGGCGCGCTATTGGCCTTGTTCCCTTCACAGACTGACAGGTGACAGCGAGGCCCAGGCTGGGCCACGGCTGCACAGGCCATGCAGCAGCTGGGCTGGGAGCACGGCAGGACCTGGTGCGCAGCTCGGGGGGCCCTGCCTGGGAGGGGCCGGGGCAGCAGGAAGGCACTGACCGTCTATGACCAGCGAGGCCCTCTGGGTGGGCTTCTTCCCAGACTTGATGCGGTTCTCATTGATTGCGTTTTCAATCTCCTGCAGCTTCTTTAGTGCGTTCAGATAAGAGGTTTTCCTTTGCTTCTTCAGCTTTTTGCTGACGTTGGGGTCACTGGCCAGGCGGCGGGCAGCCTCCGTGATCTGCGACTGGATGGCAAACTCCCGCTCCAGACGTTCCAGCTCGGCCTCCTGTGGGGGACGCCGGGGCTGAGCTGCAGGCGCTGAGCGGGGAGACAGTCACCTGTCCCTCCCCAGGCCCTGTCCTGCTCCAGCAGCGCAAGGGGACCAAGCCTTCCTGCGAATTCAGAGCTTGCTGCCTTTCCTCCCGGGGCCTGACCTCCAGTCCTCTGACATTTCCCACGGTTTGCTCACGTGTGCGTCTCCCTGCCTCTCCCACCCGTGCCTCCCCTCAGACTCTGCTCCCTTCGCCTGGGCACCTTCTGGAAGCTCCCTGCGAGCTCCAGCTGTCCTTGCCTTTGTGGTTCAAGGAAACCCTGCCCAGCTGTGAGTGGCCCTTAGCTCCTTGGCTAGGACCAGGGTCTCCTTCCGTCCTTCCTGGGTATCTGCCCTCCTTGGCTGAGGGGAGTTTCCCTCCATGCTGTGGGGCATTGTGTGCGTGGCATACACCCGCCAAGCAGCTGTCTCCTGTGCAGATGTGAGCACTGGGAGGCGGTGGCTTATGCACCGGTGTGTGAGGATTTGGGGTGGAAGCAGAATCCCCCAAGTCTCAGGACATCTTTTTCCAATTTTCCTTCCCCAGTGGGGCCCCTCTAATCAAAGCCAGCGCCAGGGACACCTGCTAGGTTCAGAGTTTGAAAATGGGCCGCTCACTCTCTCACAGAGCAGGTTCCGGAAGCCTGAGCATCACCTGGGAACTTGCAGGAGACAGGGACTCTGCCAAAGCCCAAACCTAATAAACCCATAACAAACACATCAGTGGCTTCTCCCGGGAGCAACAGGAACCAGAGAAGGGAAACCGAGCAGCCCGCTGTGGGCAGTTCGCAGTGACAGTGAAGTTTCTCAGAACTGGCCTGGCCAGAAGACCATGCATCCACGCGGGGTCCCATGAAACCGTCCTGCCCATGCACACCATGCCAGGCGGTGCCTCTGCGGGGACAACATTCCCGGCCCCATTTCACTTACATTTGAGCACTTTGAGCCCAAAGCAGATCGGCCTTGGGAGGGAGAGAAGAGGTGAGGGCTAATCAGAACTGTTTGGGAGGTAACGAACCCCTTCCTCACCCTTCAGTGCTGTCCACATGTGTCCTGCCGGGGGCAGGAGGAGGACACAGAGCTGGACTCCCGCCTGGAGCCTTGGGGAACAAAGACCTTCTGTGATTTGGGCTCCACTGAGCAGCTGTTCCTGGGTAGTTACCGTGGCCTCGGCCGAAAAGACCCTGAGTTTTGTGGGAGCTCAGAACGAACCCTGATGCTTTAATTTGCCAATGGTTATGTGACCAGGAAAGGGGCCTCTGTGGAGTGGAGCAATGAGGGGCCGGCCCGATGCAGCACAGAGCACCCACTCAGAAGAGGGGTGCTTTTTAGAGTTTAAGTGCCAGGCATCTGCCCAGTGGCAAGGGGAGCTGCAGTCCCTCGGGAGGTCCAGTGACCGCCTAGATCTGAAAAATACTCGGCAGATGGTCTCCTGAACAACTCCCCCCTCCACTCTGCCTCTGCTTAGAGAAACTAATGTTTACTGAGCCCAGCAGGTGCTGCCTATGGCAGTGTGTTTCATACACCAGCTCGTTGTTCCTGGGGTGACCTTCACTCCCCAGGGAGGAAGCAGTCTGAGGAGCTGTCCTTGGGGCACAGTGCTCTGGATCTGCTGCGGCTCTCCGGAGATCCCCAACCCTGCAGTGGGCCTCAGGGCACTTGGCTCCCTAAATCCACCCTCACGCTGACCTTCACGTGTTACATGAAAGCATGTTTCTCCTAATCTCTTTCTGGGGAGACTGAAATGCACTGTCCCTTTTCCAGCGCCTCTCAGTCTCTTGACCTGCAAGGCTGAAGGGTCCACAGAGGGGAAACGGTGGGGGATGGAGAAAAAGGACAGAACAGAGAGATACAAAAGCTGGGCCAGGTGGAGCCTCACTCCTGATGGGAGAAAAGGACCCCCAGGCACCTGCAGCGTGTTTATTTATAGTGGTAGAGGTAAGGGAAGTGCAGGGGAGAAGGGCTGGTCCGTAACCGGAACTGGAGAGCAGGTAAGATCTATAGAACATCATGCTTTGACAGTTTTGTGGGAAGGGCTGGGAGGAAGGCACCGCTACAGCACAGTGCTCCCAGCATCTCGGTCTTGACTGTGTTTGCAAACACTGTTCATAATAAATTGGGGCGACACTTCCCGAAGATGTCCTAGCCCTACAGATACACCTGACTTTCATGACACTTGGACTGAGGCTGGATACTCACCACCAGCCAGAGGTGCAAGGTTCTTTTCCTCCCCAAATCTGAATTCTCCAGCCCCATCCTCCTCCAGTGTTCAGTCCAAAGAGGACAATAAAACAAAACAAAAAACAGTGAAATCGGGCTCTGCCGAACACAGGTGAGGCCAAGACAAACGTCTTGTGTGGGCCTAGCAGTTTTAGCCACCAGGGGGCAGCCCTAGCGATCTCTCCCCAGCGAGTGAACCCCTTGCACTGGAGGACACACAGAAGTTCCCTTCCACTGATCAGACATTAGGCACAGCTCTGAGTAGCACTCACAAGACAGGGACATGACTGTCACTGGAATGTTCTCCCCAGGCTCTACTTAGCTGCTTGTAAAAGCCCTGCAATGGCGGGCAAGCAACTCCAGCAGAATTCCAAGTGTAAACTAGGACAAGCGAACTCACCCTACCAAGGAGGCCACATCCTCATCAGCCAGCTACTCAAGAAGAGGCGGCAAGAAAGACCTCTGGCCCGAGTTGCTGGGAGCTCCAACAACTGGGGAAAATAAGGATAATCGGAGAGAATCCAACACCAGAGGAAGAACGCACCTCTCCTTTGGGCAGGATCTTCTGCTCATCCAGCTTGAAGGCTGTGCCTATTCTCCTCCGAACAATGGGCGGCTCCTCCCCGGGGTCCAGGGGGTACTCCACAGGGAGTTTCCCGGTGAGCTCCTGCAAAAGCGAAGCAGCTGCAGTGATTATGAAACAGCGGCACACGCTGGTCGTCTTTCTGGGACACGCGTGCACTCACACACCCTTCAGTGCCCAGATCACAGACAGAGGAGCAGTGTCAGCATGCAGCTACACCCCAGGAAGAGCTCATGAAATGAGATTTCATCTCTAAAACGTGTGCCACGCCTCCTTTCCCACGGACCAGAGGCTGTCTGCAAAGTCTTTCCAGGATCAGCTTCTGTCACGTAACTAAGTCTGCTGGACTTAGTAATGCTCCACCCGCATCCTACGATGATCTAGCGAGAGTGCCCGGTGTGCACCAAGCACGGACAGAGTCCGGGAATAGCAGTCAGCACATTCCCGAACCTCTAAATCAAGATTTCCCTCACACAAGTTTTCTTAGGAGGAGCCGGGTCTGTATGGCAAATCCCAGAAAAGCGCCTTACTATGCAGTTTGAAGATGGACTATGGGAAGTAGTTATTCCCTCAGCCAGATACTCCAGGGAAGGCTGAATTTAGAACACTCTAACATGTATGAAATCTCAGTTTTAAGAAACAGAAAATGCAATCTATTTGACAAGTCTACTAAGAAATCCGTCACATGTATTTTGGCCTCTGGGAATCTAACTGTTATGTGCACAATGACGTGAATGCAGGTGACATACCCCTCTGTCACAGTGACGGGGCCGGGCTGGGCCAAAGATCTGGGCAGTGACTCAGGATTAGGCTCTCCGTCTGAGGGTCCAGATAGGTGTGAGTCAGGGAAAACCCCACTGTGAAGCCAGCCATGGAGTGCAAGAAGCCACTTCCGGGGAGCAGAAAAGGCTGGGGAGGCACAGTGTCCCGCAAGGGCAAAGCAGGCTTGTCTGGACAAAGGTGCTGGATGAGGAAGACCTCAGCAGGGTCCCGCTGTGAACGTCCACACAGGACGATTCTGTGCCGGCAACCGAGACCCGAGTGTCCAGCAGTGGTGGGACTCACGGTCAGGGGCGCTGTGGCCCTGCTTCCCACCCGCTGTGTGCTGAGGGACCCTCCTCCAGGCCTCTCCATCTTCAGGGCCCGGCCCTGGGAGCGGCCCCTGGACTTCAGCCCTTGAGGCCAGCGGCCCCTGAGCCTGAGCTCCCTGAAGCTTTCTTCCCTGTTCTTTTCTTTCTTTTTGAAAACATGGTTCTGATGACTCCTAAGCAGCTATGTATTTATTCCACAACCTTTTCATCAGCTCCCCTCAATCTATCGAAGGTTCTATGTTGTCAGGACGTTTTTTTGGTACCTTGAAACTTATAAGAAGGAGGGAGAGGTTGTTAAAATTCTCATGGCTTTATAACCCCAAAGCTTTTGTGGTTTTAAAATATATTTTTTAAATGAGGCTACTGATTTTTCTCCTGCTGCTTGAAGGTACCTGAGTAAAGATCTTGGTTCTCCAGTCATTTCATGTGAGTTTACACAGAGCCAGAGCTGGCCCACAGGACAGTCAGTGCCCTGCTGCGGGCCTTTCTTCACGTTCTGCCACAGCCCCCACTGACCCTGCTCTGGCTGCCTCGCTCCCCTCTCGGACACAGAGCCTCCTGGCGCTCTAGCTGAGAGGGGCTTCTGAGCCGCTACCAGCAGGTCCTGTTTGCCAACTGCGCTAGGAGTCGCTGGCAGCAACAAGCAGCCGACTTCATGTTGGGCTCTTTCCTCTGCCCAGGTTAGGTTTTCTGTGCCAACACTCAGGACTGAGAGCCTTGTTCCCCCTATTTTGCCTTTGTTTTGGGGAGAGATGGTGAGACTTCAGAGTGCAGGCTGACTTTGTCCCGCATGTTCCTGTGCCTCCTTGTGTGGACTCTGGTGGACTCAGGGTCTTCTCCTTTCTTAAAATCAAAACAAGGCTTTATAAATTATTGAAGGGTCTTCAAACACCTGTGCTTTTTCAATCCTTCAAGCATATTCTTTGCAAAAGTGTCGCTAGTATTAAGGGTATCACACAGCACATTCCCCCAGCCACCCCACTTTCGTGAGATTTGCAATGGATCTGTGCTAATGTGCTGCTGCTCTGAGTGCGCTCTGGTTTAAATCAACCCAGGCCATAATTAAACCAAGTTGAAATGTAACCTGATCTCACTCCGTGGCCCTGTGTCTCATTTTTTCTCTGCACAGCATTATTATTTGGGGGAGGGGACCCATCTCCCTGGCTGCCTGGGAGCCTCTGCATCCTCCCCCCTTGGAACTGTCTCTGGGCAGAGCGACCCCACCACACCCAGGAGAGCGTCCTCATGCTGTCCACCTGTGCACACACACACACACACACACACACACACACACACACACAGCAGTATGTGCCACACTGAAAAACAGTCTCCAGAGGCCACTAATAAAGGGTCACAGAGCAAATAAGAAGTACACACACACACACACACACACACACACAGCAGTATGTGCCACACTGAAAAACAGTCTCCAGAGACCACTAATAAAGGGTCACAGAGCAAATAAGAAGTGGAGATTTCAGTAGACACAGAAGTGAACTTCAGGGGCCTCTAAGGACTGAGTCTGCCCAGAAGATGGCGCAGGTCATTCTCTGCAGGAGCCATGTCCCATGAGGGAGGCTTTGCACACCGAGGGGAGCTGTGCATTCTGGCAGGGTGCATGGGTGACGGTCCCTCAGGGCTATGAGTCAGCTCCCGACCACACTCATCGTGGAGCTGGATGTTTCCAGCACTTCAGAGGCCCCACCTCCCTGGGACACCTCCAACTGTACTTATGAGGGGACACCACAATCATGGGTGCAGTCGCTTACAGCTTCCCGGAGACACAGCCTCTTCAGCTCCTCCAGCCTCTGGCGAAGCGTCTCTTCTAACGCCTCTTGCCTGGATTTCAAGGCGGCCAGCATGTCCTTCTTGGCTGACTGAGAGCTGTCTGATTCCTGAGAGCCTGTCAACAAACAGCAGGGTCAGAAAGGCCAGCTGACGGGACACATCTGGACCACTGGCAGATTCAGCTGGAGCCCTTAGTGGGCATGGCTTTGTCCCAGGAAACAGGATCAGGGCTCAGACTTCTGAGGGGGGCAGTGAGGTCCAGCCCAGGGTCCACAGCTGGTCAGAGCACTGGCAGGAAGAATGACACCCCTGAAAGAGCCATGTGCCTTCCTTGGTGATCTTAAGCTATGTCACGTGCCAGTTTTAGTCTCACTAGCAAATTTTAATACGTTTTACACAATGAAAAAGGAAAGTAAAGTTCAAGCTCATGATTCTGTTTTTCATTTTCTTTTGTCTGTTTCAAAGTGCTGATTTTAATGTAGTTGTTGGTTTTTTGCTCAGCGCAAACCTGATGCCTGTTTATCAAAAAATTTCTGAAAATGGAGGCAGTTAAAAAAAGTCTATAAGCTAGTCACCAGAGATTACTGATAGGCATTTTCTTTTACCCCTTTTTCTATAAATATGTATATTAAAAGTACAATTAGAATTTTATCATATTTTGTTAACTTAATGCTGTATCATGAACAAACTCCCTCCTGATAGAACTTATACATATTTTTCTGTGCTTTCCTGGAGAGAATATCGGCATGATGACTCAAATAGCAGGCTATTTAAGAAGCCTTTGTAAAAAGGAAACTGTGAACCAAACAAAAGGAAAATAGGGCCAGGAATTTAGCTCAGTGGTTCCGCCACCTGCCTCAAAAGTGCAAGGACCTCAGTTTGATCACCGGTACTAAAAAAAAAAAAAAAAAAAAAAAAAAGGAAAATAGACCCAAGTGCCAACAGGAGGACTGTAGGTTAGATCAGAAGAATAATTTTGGGGCTGTAATGTTTAGAACCTGAAATTGGTTTCCTGCAGTGCAGCTTTTAGACCTCGGACCTTGCTGGGGCAGGGAAGGCACTCAGCCTTCCGGGGAAAGGACAAGCTGATGACTACTTTTCTTCTTGTGTCTGTGGTGAGCAGAATAAGCAAGCAGGTGTCATTGGCTGTGCATTCGAGGGGTTCAGACCATGCTGTCAACAATAGTGGCAAAACACCTCAAAGCCTAGAGAAATGAATCTAATTAAAGATACGCAAGATACCATCTGTGAAAATCATAATGCTCTATGGGGAAAAACTAAAGACCTAAATAAATGCACTGTGGTTCTGCATTGGACAGCTGGAACTTTGGAAATATCAACTTGCCATGAATTAAAATAACCAAAGCAATCCCAAGAAAAGTCCCAGCATAATAGTTTTTGGGGAGGGAATAGGAATTGTATTTCCATGTGAAAAAGTAAATTTTTAGACACCTCGGTGACCATGTAAGCAGATGTGAGAATAATCCAACTGGGATTCCCAGTCAGCGATTTGGTTCAGTTTCTTCCATGGTAACGAAAACACCTGAATAAGAACCACAGAAGGCTCGAAAGAACTCCTATCCCTTTGAATCAAACAGCTCCACTATATTCAAACTCTCCTCACAAATACACCATTCTCCTCTTTTACTTAAAATCTGGGCAGGAACCCCACCTTTGCCCACCACCACCTTGCATCTGCTCTTCTAACCCTCGTCCAGAAGCCCTCTTAGGGTCTAAGTACATTTCGACTCTGACCCGGCTTTGTTCTTCTCTTTCCGCAGCCCATTTGAACTTGGAACTGTGAACGTCTATGGCTGTAGGGTTGCAGCATCTTCACATCCCCCACTCACAAATGATGTGAGCATGAACAAAAGGCAAGGAAAGGCCGCCTGTCATCTCTGTGGAGGCCGACATGAAACTGTGCCGTCCTGGAGGAGTCTAGGGCCTCCACACTGCTCATCCACTGAAGTGACCGTCTGCGCTCCAGATCCGTCTGTGGCTCTCTCTGCTGCAGGCTGAGATGCTTCAGCCACAGGATTCCAAATTCAGTCGCAAAAGCCTGATCCTCACCAAGTCGCCGTTGCCCGGTCCATGCCTCTCAGCCACTGAAGCCAGATGGCCACGCATTTGGGTAGCACTCCCCGGGTATTATATTGCAGGCTCCCCTTTTTGACATGGTTCAGGTTTTCTAGCTCTGTAAGCCAATTACTCTGTGCTCATGAACACTAAAACATCTCCAGTCTATATCTATGTAGCTCGAGAAGGCTAAATCATGATGAATCTCAATCTGGCTGTCCCAGTAACAGTCACCAACCCCACTTGAAGACACAGGAAAATTTAATGAGGTACTCTCTCTCCCGTCAGCTAAAAATTTAATAAGCATGTAAAATAATACTGCAAGGAAGTCAGACCTGAGATTTGAAAAACAGGCCAGGGGAAACTTGGGTCCAAGAAGATTAAAGGATTTCTAGCTGAAGTGAACAATTCAGTTTTCCCTTTCACCCCTGCCTCACCTCTCAATAGGAAATGGTGATTTATTAAGTCAAATCTAAGAATTAACTATGTCTGTGAACAGCAAAAATCATAGTATTCATCTCCAAGAAGAAAAGCACACAACTGTGGGGTGACCGAGTCTGCAGTTACGGGGCTGGTTAAGATTCAGCCTTTAAGGGGCCGGGGATGTAGCTCAGCGGTTGGGTGGCCTGCCTTGCAAGCATAAGGACCCGAGTTCAATCCCCCGGCACCAAAAAAAAAAAAAAAAAGATTCAGCCTTTAGTTGCAGGGCTCATTAATGCCGCCTGGTTATTATTTATAATTAGCTAGATTCCAGAGCCACATAAGAGGGGCAGGCATTGCGGCAGGCCCGGTAGCTCCTGAGCCTTTCTCTGAGGCAGCTGTGCCCCAAACACTGGCTGGCTCAGCTCTGGACGCCAGCCGGAGGGCCCTGCAGAGCACCGAGGGAGCCTGTGGGACATGCAGGTCGTGTCATCGGTACCCTGTCGGCTGAGTGTAGCGTAAGGTGGTCCTGGGCCTGACGAAGCCTAAACTTGGCCCCTGGCGAAGTACCAGGCCTCCTCCACACCCACGCCTACCTGGGATCGTGGTATGACTTGCACTGGGCCTGGGCAGGAAAACCCTCAGCCCTGGGCGGGTCGGGCATGCGCAGGCACACACACGCCCTCCTAGAATTAGAAAGAAACCACTGAGGTTCCGAGTCGCGCCACGTCAAGGACGAGCAGGTCAGAGAAGTGCACTCTGCAAGGTGGAGCAGGCTGGCGCTCCAAGGCGCACCTGCAGGCAGGAGCAAGCCAGGTGTGGCGGTGTCTTCACGCTGTTTCCAGGGCCCCTGGTTTGCAGCTGTGCTGTGGGGCTGCCAGGACAGAGGTGGGAGCAAGGGCCAGGGGCTCGGAAGGGTCTGACGGCCTCCACTCCACACTCCCCGAGGCAGAGCAGCTCCACACGGACTGCGCACGGCCGCAGGCGGCCAGGTGCATTGGCAGGGCCAGGGCTTTACCTCCTGAAAGGAAACCCAGTATTCTGGGCCAGGGTCCCCGCTGCTCGGTGTCAGAGCTTGTGTAAACCAGGCCCGGAGGCTGCCACTCACAATGGGGCATCCGTGACCACCACGAGGAGGGGTTCTGCAGCGAGCAGCTCAGACATCCAGAGGACCCCAAACGCGGGCGACGCTGAGCGGGCTCCCGGCCCGCCACCGACAGCCCTCAGCTTTCCCGAAGGAGAAGCTGGTGCAGCAAAGGCAGGATGAGCGAGGCCCCCAGAGAAGGGAGGGTGGAGGCCCACTCTTTCCCTGCTGGAAGAACCTGAGCCCAAGCAAAGCCCTGGGACTTGGGGCGGTGGTGGCCTCCCAAGTACCCTGAGGAGCAGACACAAGGGAAACGTGATCAGCATGGAGCCCTGAGGACCAGAATCTCGGTCTGGCTCCCGACGACGCGTCACTGCCAGTCTTCTGAACACAGGAGATCTCTCCCTCATTCTAAGTTCAGCCTGCTAGAACTGGAAGAGACAGAAACCTGCTCCCTCTGGGAAGGGTGGAGGGTAAGACATCTGGGCTCATGCTGAGCGGTGGAAGAGGGTCCCTCACCTCGTGAGCCGTCGTATTCCCACCCATGGTGCCCGATTGACCGCAAAGTTCCTCCAAACTTCAGGAATTGGCGCCTTAATAAAACGTACTCGGGTAGTTTCTCTTACCGCTAGCAGTCATTTCTGTTTTCACAAAACGGAACCACAGATGTGGCGCGACCTGCCTCCCTCTTTCCCTCCCCCTCCAAACCTCCAGGAACAAGGAGCGCCCTGGCGGCTCTCGCCCTTCTTTACTGCTGCGGCCTCCTGCAGGAGGGGCGCAGATCTAATTAGCATCCAGGGCCCACGCATCTCCCGCTTCCTCTTATCAACAGGCCAAAGCAAGCATGTGCAAGGCTGGACGTTAGACGGCGTTTAGTCGGAGCTGTCTTCAACACGAATGAAGCGGGCAGACGGATGGACACCTTTCCCGTACCGAGAAGACTGAGATTTCAAGCTGTGTACACAGAACAGTAGCCCAGTGCTCTTGGAAAGGGGTGGCCACGTACAATGAGCGGGCGGAAGAGTCTGAGAAAACAGTGCGGTGTTCCGAGTACTTTTGAAAGACACACAGAATGCATGATTTGGGGGAAGGTATCCAGCAGCACGCAGCAGTACCTAACGACAGGACAGAGCGTGAATGTGGGGAAAACTCGCTGGTGCAGCAGCCTCCCGGAGCACAGTCTGCAGCGCAGCGGCGCAGTTAACAGGCCTGATGGGCGTCCCAGCTGCACCAGTGCTGAGCGCCAGGACGCGGGCAGGTACACGACCCCGACGGTTTCCGCTCTGTCCCTACAAAGCAGGATGAAAACCTGACTTCTTTTTAAACGTTGGGAGAATTAAGATAGATAATAACGGGTGCTAAGACGGACACTCAGAACATTTTTAGCACTGTATGAATCTAGTGGTAGTTTTCATTAAACAGTGTTCCCGGCTTTTATTAGCTGCAGTGTGAAGAACAGCAGACAGCAGGGACTCACGGACACAGACCACCCTGGGTCACGGAGGAGGGTGTGGGTACACAGGGAGGCCACGCTG